AACAGCTTAACACAGCAGTGTTTTTCAAGCAGGTAACAATACTACTGGAAAAAAAATAGGAAGCTTAAAATGCAGTAGTTTATTACATGCCATCTTCCATATTGTCTTCTTCATGATCTGATTTGGTTTCCATTTTCCCATCTTCCGAACTATCGTCCATTGAGTGATCACCAGTCTCCTCTTCATCTCTTATCGTGTCTGGATCTGTATCCATACTTTTATTTTCGCTCTCCTCTTCCTCTTCCTCAAACTCCTCATCCCCATCCTGCCTTCCCAGCTTCTCATACCCATCTTCTCCTTCCTTCTCATGCTCCTTTTCACTCTCGCCGTCTCTCGGCATGCTCTCTCTCTCCTCTGAGTCAGAGTACCCCTGGGGAGTGATGCTCTGTAAATAGGCCCGGTTCATCAGTAGCTCAGTGGGCTCTAAGTGACCCTTTTCACGGGCTTCCCGCTCAGCTGCTTCCCTCTCCTCTGCCTCTCTCTTACAGTAGGAATACCTGTGATTCATGTGCTGTGAGTAAGACCCTGAGTGCGAGAAGCGCTTGCCGCACTTGTCACACTGGTAGGGCTTCTCTCCAGAGTGCAGGCGCGAGTGCTCAATCAGGTGATGCTTGTGTTTAAATGCTTTCTTGCAAATCTGACACTGGTGTGGTCTTTTTCCTGTAAGGAAAGACAAGAGGACATATGGGTTATAGTGGCAGAGATGGATGGCTTCTCCACCCCTTTTTCTCCCTCTACTCTTTCAGGTCCTTGAGCAACATGATACCTGAACCACCCCACTTTCTTCTTTTTAAAGAAAGCTCAATTGCAGAAACAAAACAAAAAAAAAATCACATTTATGCTACAACTTAGACTTTGGATGGGTTTGACTGTAGTAATTTTACTCAAGCAGCTCAGGATAATAAAGAAAATGACTCAGAGAGCATCAGTGGAAAACTGGCAGCTCTAGCAAGCAGCTGACACCCATGAAAATGTTCAAAAAATATCCCTATTTATAAATATTTCTGCTGACAGCATCATATACATGTCGCATTTCTTTCCATGCCTTGCTGAAGAGATTAGCCTGTAGAGAAGGCCTTTGTTACTTAAAGTTTTCTTTGTATAAGTTGCTCATGAATAGCAGGAAGCCAACATCCTATCTTTGTGCCTTTGACAGTGGTGCCACGTAACTGCAAGCAACTGCTTGCCAGCTGTTCCTCACCTACAGCACCCCAAGGCAAGCCCACCACGGATTACCTTGGAGTGAGCCAACATACGCAGCAGATCTAGGGACAGCAAGAGAGAGTCAGGCCTCATTGAGTCCCTAAGGTATCTGCTGCTGCAGGAGGACACAGGCTGGACACACACCAAGCCACTGCAGGGGTCCTCTCCTCCAGCCCTTGACTAGGGGAGGAAACCTTCAAGCACCGAAAGACATTTTTCCCCCACCACATGAGCAAATACAAATATATATATCTGCCACAGAAGCATAAGGGATTTCTAAATAAAATGTTGTCAGCCACTCGCTGAGTGCTAAAGTAGTGTTAAGCTGCAGAAAACAGTATTTCCTTTGGCATTTCAGACAGTTTCAAACCAATGTTTGAAACTCAAAACCAGTGCCAAGCCTAAACACATCTGGTTGATCCCAGGCCACAAATAGCACAGGAATGCCTTCAACACCTTCCAGAACTGCCATACTGAAAGCTTAATTCCAAAATAGAGCTGACAAAAAATACTTGTCAGCATGATGCCACACGACAAAACTCAGCAAAGCATGATGCAACCGTGAGATATCCAGACATAACATATGGTGCAAAGATTGGAATTAGTGAAGACCGATCACCAAACTTAGATTACAGAAGGCAAAAAACAAAATCAAACATTAGTACCTTCAGCCAGATTTTTTTTATTTTTGAAATGTCAAATTATAATCTTAGTGTCATTCAACTGAATGCTCCAGAGTGGTGCAACTATGCAGGCGGATACAGTGCCAATTGGTCATTATTTTTTAGTTTGTGCAATTTTTACATATATAAAAATGCTGGTATTCAGAGCCTCAAAAGCAGAGCCCTGCTTTTCATGTCTTATTGCTAGAGCAGATCATTAGGAACTTATTAGTGAAGTGGTCTGATTCCTCTGGCATATTTACCACACTTAGCTAATGTAGGATGTGACCTGAACAGAAATAAACTTCACACCAGAGCCCTCCCATCCTGTCAGTTGTAAAAGTGTGGTATTCTCTTAAATCTAAAAGAAGCAAGCTCAGAGAGAGGAAGAGTATGGTGGAGGGTAGAAAACACCAGCCAAGAGCAAAGGGCTGGGAAGATGGGAAACTGTCACTGGTAGTGTCCACATGGAAGGAAATCCAGCAGGAAAAAAAAAAATGTTTTCAGACTGTTGAAGGATCTCAGCTTCCAGGAAAACTCAAACTGCTCCTTGATGAATCTGATCTGCTTTCTTTTCCTCTGCAGTCACTGCCAGGACGTGAGAGCAGCAAAAGTCAGGCATAAAAAGAATTCATTTCCATAGCAAAGTTGCTAAGAACAAATACTAAGGAGTATGTGAATTTTTTCCCCCCAGTCTAGTCACAGCTACCTTCAAGCCCCACTGTGAAAGTTCAGATTTAATAAGGTGCGATTAACAAATGCTCAAGGAAGCCAAAAATTGTGTTATGAAATGAAGGGGAGATCTGGCAGGAAGGAAAATACAGGAGAAACCACAGATAGAATAACCCAAGTGACAGAGGAATTAGTGGATGCCTGGAAATTGGGACTCAAACTACATTTCTTTGTATGAGAGGTTCCTAATCTTGCATAGATACAGGGTTTTTTTTTGTTGGTTTTTTTTTTCTTCTTTATTTCCCCTTAGAGTAAAACTGAAAATTCAAGCTTGATATACTGGATTATAGCAGCATTGCTTTTATGAACTGTTTCCTAATTATGCATTTCTTACCTGGAAGTACACCAAATCCAGAACTGTGAGGCAACTACCTGGATTCAGAGCAGAAGCTTGCCACAGTGGGGAAATCCCACAGTCATAGCTCAGGAGATTTTAGCACGATTTAGTCACTTACTCAAATTAGCATAAAATCCCAAAGCATTCTTGACCTAAGCACTCCTTAAACCTCAGCACTGCCCAAAGAAAACCTTCATGAGTGAGGTGGGAGCTTTCCCAATGCCACCAACCACCTGGCTAGATGCACCAGATGATAGGCCTGCCTGCATCCCTGCCTCATCCCAGGTGTCCTGCTGAGCTCACTCAGAGCAACACACTACCATCCCTTTGCTAGTATCTCCATAGTTGCTAATTTTGTTCCTTTATTTTTTTTCCTCATAGTCCTTCTGCTTTTCCTCAGGACTTTTTTTGTGTCCTCCTCCTCACTGAACTGCCCACGCTGTCTCAGTCCCTCCCTCTGACTTACTTTTCCCCAACATCAGTAAGTCCAACCCTCATCTTGTTCCACTTCTCCACAGCAATGCTCCTTCTCGGTTATTTCCTGATTTTTTTAATGCCCAGTACACCCTTCTCACCCCACAGCTGTGCTCCATCCAATTGTCCAGCACTTTTTCTCTCTTCAAACAGAAGTCAGCCACTTCCACTGCTTCTCATCCAGACCTGTCTCCACCTGCCTGTCCCTCAGTCTTTGCTTTGCTCATCCCTTGCACGCAGCATTCACTCAATGCTGCGTTTCCTGCTCATGGTACCTGGGGCCTCCCTCCAGCCAGCGAAGTGGTAGCCTGGCAGGAAATCATCTATATTTTATACATTAACTCAGAAATGAGAAGATTAAAATTCTGTATTTTCATATTAATAACTTTGTATTTTCATATTAATAACTTTGTATTTTCATATTCATTTATATTAGTACTAAAAAGGCTATATTAGAGCTATTTAGTCTACCACATCCGTATCAAGGACTCAGTTTTGATCTGAGGGAACATGACAGCTTGAGCAAAGTTCTTTGTTCAAACACCATACAACATACCTTAGCAGTGCACAGCATGCAGCTGTTACAACACTAATTGAAATATGTTTTTAAATGTATCGGGTTTCTGAACATTTGTGGGAGAATTATTTTTTTCCCCTGTGTGCAAAACCCAATATTTCAGCCATTTAAAAGGAGTACCTAATCCCTACAATGCATTAGTAGGCCATAAAATAAAGCTGAAGTAAGGTATTTTGCACTGGGGATGGGGATAAATCTACAATTGTAGGTTGATGGGGATAAATCTACAATTGTAGGTTGATGGGGATAAGTCAACAGCTGTAGGTGGATAGGGAGAACCTAGAATTGTAGGTGGGTGGGGAGACCTACACCTTTAGGTGGTTGGGAAGAACCTACAACTTTAAGTAGTTCTGGCTGCTGTGTCAGCTATTTAGCTAGCATGAAGTAAGAGCATTGTTGTGCAATATCATGTCAGTGCACTAGATGGGTTGAAAGAAAGATTTGAACATCCCATCCCACATTTTACCCAGTTTCATTTCAGATGACCTGTGTCATCCATGGGGATTGAGCTGAGAGAGAGAGATACCCATGGCACCTCACAGGAGAGCTCACAGAACACTCTGTGTTATCAGGTAGATGCGTGAGGTAGATGTCACATTTTGCAGTGAAACAGTGATAAATCTCTCTCAAATATCTAAAGGAAATGTTTGGGCTTTTTTTTATTCCACCATCTGCAAAAAAGAGGTTCCCACGGGGGCCTGCACTCAATTTACAGAGGGGAAATTATAACTAATCTCTTTGCAAAGTCTCTAGAATTGTGTTTCTGTCAAAACAAAACAACAAAAAAACCTCTAACAGTAAGTATCTCTCAGTCTTCCTGGGCTAAAAGCCTTTGAGTGAAAAAGCTATGAGTTTCACATTTGCAGTGGCTTAAAAGTCATAAGACATCAGATCATAAACTGTCACTGGTCCGAAACTAAATATCACCCATCCTTTGCCTAAGGCAAGTGGGTCTTTTTTCTGTGGGAGGGGGCCAAACAGAAATCCCACTCTTTGGAGAAAAGAAGGAAACATCTCTGTGACAGTTTGTTTTTATTTTTTGAAGGCAGTTCTTTTGAAGTTGCTTGGGGGTTTGGATGTTAGTTGTAGTCCCAGTGGAGATGGATTAGCAGCCAGAGCACAGCGAAGCGGTCAAAGGTGCCAGATAAATGCAATTTATATATAATTGCCCAAGCTGCACCTGTTCCATTTTCAATAGAAGACCTTTCTACAGAACAGATTTCACAAGCATAGAATATATCCTTTTTTTTTCTTTATTTGAGTGTAAAAGAGGGAATTCTAAACTTGCATCAGAGTAAAGCAAGAAAAAATAATCTTTAAATAGCATGTAAATTTTTTATGAATCAAGCTCTAAATAAAGAAAACTCCTGAGCTGGGAATTCAAAATACTAGCCAGAGAGAGCTGATTTGCTACCAGGCTCAAGAACAATATTTAGTTTACAGAATCAATCTGGAAATAAAACTAGTGCCTGCATCAGCATGAAAGCTACAAAAATATAAAAGAGGTCTTAATAAAATATACAGTGGAAAAGGAAAGGATGAAAGCACTAGCACAGTTATGAGGCCCTCGACAGCCCACACAAGTAATAAAATAGAATATGATGTAATATAGAACAACAATGAAAGGATTTAAAATTTCTAGGTAGGATTCTGAAAAACTGTTTCCAGGTTTTGTTGCAGAGCAAGCACACTGCAAGTTTCCTTGGGAAGCTACAATAAAGCTGGTGTGTAGCAGACATGGGTGTTGACGACAGCAGAACAAATTCACCTTTACTTCTGAATCAGCCCAACACAGCACTGATGACCCAAGGGCACTGGATTAGTAGCCAGGAGCCAGGATATTTCTCTTATTTCCAGATGCTCACCTTACTCCTGAAGCAGCCCAACACAGCACTGATGACCAAGGGGGGTTGAATTGCTACCCAGGAGCTAGGATATTTCTCTTATTTCCAGATGCTCCATTTTGTTTGCTTTCTTGCTCACTTACCCACTACTGTTTGCCCTCCTTATCTGCAACACAAATATTTTTTTTTGCTCATCAGATGGTACCAATGCTTTACCATGAAGGGAACCATCTTCATCTTTAATATGGAAAGTTTCTTGAGCCTTCTGCTAAGCAGCGTGGATAGATCTGAAATTAGACACATGCAGTATCCACTCAACTAATTTTAACCTGTCCAAAGTTAGGATGAGTTCATAAGACTTCCCAGGAAAATAATGTGAGCACTGAATTCCTGTGCTACCTGCCATGCTCTGCACCCTAGTTACAGTGCTGCATTTGCTGGTTTTAAAGAAATAGAATCTTGTGAAGCTCAAATTCTCAGAGGGACAATATAACTTCTCTTAAAATTAAATGTTATCCCAAAATTAACTTGGCAGAATTTGGTCCTGCAACAAGCAGTGGCCTTTACACTAAATTTCAGATTCAGATGCCAGAAGCAATGCATTTTGCTCATTGCAGTAACACAATGAATTTTCCTTCTCCACATGAAGCTAGAAGCTATTTCAGAATACTGGTAATGCTGCATAAATTAAAAATTATGGATTGTGAAATCTGGGCCCCTTTTCCTACTGTACTCAAGCTGTGGCAGGTATGGAGTACAGAGGTAATGGCAGAGCTCCCTGATCTGCGTCCACATGGTCCTACTAGAAGTTCTTGGGTTGACACAAAGAACTGGCCAAATCCCATTCTTCTTGCCCTGGAAGGGAAACAGCTTCACTGCAATACTTCAGTGACATTCCTGTTTTCTCCTTTACAGCAGTTGGTGTAACACATGATTACGGCATCTCATCTGTCAATGTTATTTTTTGCTCCAGATGATTTCTCTGGGGTAAATATTTAGGGGCTGCAAAGCAAGTGCATGGCCTCTGTCTGAATCTCTCAACCCTCATTCTAGTATTGTTTGCAATGGGTTTGTGAACCATGAAGAGTGGTGACAAATAAAAATCTAATTGTTCAAATATCAAAAAAAGCAAAAACCAAAAAAGCACATAGTTTTTTTTTTTTTCACTCAGGAAGAAAGACATCAGTATAAAAAACATCCAGCACTTGTGCTTCTCCAGGAAAGACAGGAAGTGTTCCTCCTAAAAATATGTTTTTAATGAAGTAACAACAGATCATGATCAGCTGGTCAGAAAACAGCAACACACTCAGAAAATAAGCTTTTTCTCTTTTTTAGGTTTAAAAAAGTTGACTGAAAAATCTGGGCCTACACTTAGAATGATCCCAAATGCAGAAGAGGCTGATACTTCCAATTTGGTTCCTTCCACTGAACAGACTGCAATTTCATACCTATATTATAGATGCAATTGCAAGCTTTTTTCCAAAACTATCAAATTAATTTGAAATTCACTTAAGATGCACGCTAAGCTACTAGCTGAAGTCCCAGTGCATTTTGCCTCCTGAAGGCTGTGGATCTGTGATGGAGCTAGCCCAGCCAAGGTCTTCACAGCTCCAACCACCTCTATCTAACTTTAGCGCGATGTGTGGAGGATAAAAGCAAGCATGTCATTAATAATACTTCACAATTTATACAGCAAGTTCCATCACAGGATTTCAGCCTGCATGAATTAAGATTTACAGCAACCCAGAGAGGTGGGCTGGTATCATTTCCCTCTATTTCAAAGATGGGCAAAGGTGAAAGAAGGTGAAGCAATTTGGTGGAATTCACAAAGGAAGTCTGTGGCAAGGCAGGAAAAAGTGCAGTTCTCTCAGCCTCAGCGCCTGTGCCTTTGCCACAAGACCATCCTTCCTGTCTCTAAATGCCACACTCAAGCTTGATGATGTGCTGTAGTTCTAGCGTATTAAATATGACACCGTATACACGTTCTGGATCATAAGGCTGAGTCCAATAAAATTGATGGATGTAAAGTTGAGAAACTGAAAGGGACAGAGCAAAGAAGAAAAGTCCCTACACTGCAGCTGTATGGTATTTTTCTAGGCAGTAGGTTCCCCTGCTACTTAAAGACCAGAACATATTTTTGCTTTTACAAATGCAGTTTATTTTGCAAATCAAGGTGATTGCACAGATTTCAGCTTGTCAAATTTTGAGCCTTTCAACCATATGTCTGTCGACCTTATGGACTACCAACTTTATGGGATTCAACCATATGTCCAGATCCCAGTATATATGAAGGCCAGTTCTAACATGAGAGCTTTACGGTACTAGTGTAGTAAGCCATAATGTTTGCAGATGGCTGTAATAAAATCATTCAGGAGAGAAAAGGTGCAGGGACATAAAGCCTTCAAAGCTTCTTCTACCGAATAAACAATTTGATCTGAATAACATAGTGGGAAGCACATTTCAGCAATGAACTAGCTGATCTAGTCCAAAACATTGCTTTTAATTTTCTTTCCTAATCCCGTATGTATTTTTACTTTCTTTTTTATTTTCCTGTGTGGGATTATCTTAAAATTTGGAAGAAAAGTATAAGAAGGAAAATAACAAAATAAAGATTTTTTTTTTAAAGGCACAGTCCACTTCTGAATTGTAATTTTTTCATATATGAAATGCCAAATAGTTATGTGCAGCCTGGAACATGTATTAATAGAGAGGTATACGTTTTTTACCATCACATGGTGAGATTGAAGGATGATGTGACTTGCTTCGTTTCCTGAATTGGGACTCAGCTTTCAAAGTTAAGGAAAGTTTCCTCCTGAGTAAGCTTTTTCTAACTCTAGGAAGTTGGTGTTTGGTTTATGTCCTGCTGCACAATAATTCACATGATAATTCACATTCCCTTTGTCTAATATAACTTGATATCTCTATTATATGGGGGGAGCTCCGGTCCCATTTTCCCCTAAGTGAAACACGCTGAGCTGATGTATCCCTCTTGGAGAGCTCTCCACCTCCGGACTCATGCCTGTCCTGACTGAGAGTGGGAAAGGGAGCACTGCCTGCAAGGAGAATCATGGCCAGCATAGGTGTGGTGGAGGGTCTTTTTCAAACCAAAATATATTTTAAGCTGACAATCCATGGTGAGCTTTGGCAAGCTTCCTTGAACTAGACAAAAATCAGTCCCTACTTGGGAAAGAAAGAAGCCTTCCCTGGGCATTAACTGAGAAGCAAAAAAGTGAAATGCAACCTGCCTGTGCTGCTGGTGTGCAAGATCACAGCAAGAGCAATCCCTGTGAGGAGTTTACTTTCAGATAACTCAGCCAGAGCCTGCTCTCATGCTGCTAACATCAGTGGAACTTCTACAGGATTAAATGGTGCAGGGTCAGATAATGTCTAGGACCCTTCCTTCCTGCACCAGACTTTGTGTTGACCAAGTTGCAGTTCTTTCAGAGTGCTAGGGCCTGCCTTATTTGAAGAGGGCTTATCCTGCAAGATGCTGAGTGCCACCATTGTGATTGTGCTCGGCATGACACATCACATAGCACCTGCCAGGATTCACCCCATCACATCCAACAGCTCTTCACCAAGCAATTACTATTAAAAAGAGTTAAACAATGTGTTGAACTGAGCAAATGATGTTCTTTCTGCCCTATTGAAAGCCTCTCCACTTTCCAAACCATTCACTGTACAAGCGTACTTACAAAAGACTATGAAGAGCACAGTATGCACCTCAACCCTCCCCTTGGCACGCACGGCCATCCTACCTGTGTGCTCGTATTTGTGTCGCAGCAGGGAACTGCTCTTCTGGAATGTCTTGTCACATAGGTCACATGCATACATGCCACTTTCTGTCTTCTTGATCTTCTTTCGGGACAGACAGGAGTCGGAGTCCGTCATGTCATCAAGGCCGGACATGTAGTCTGGGGTTCCATCAAGCAATTCTCCCTGTGAGGGAACCACCCGTCAGTGACACCCATTTCTACCACCGCACCTTCCCATGGAGGAACCACCCATCCGAGAGAAGTCAAAATTATGTCTGCTTAGGATGGTAGTCCTCTCAGTTTAGGAACCCGTTGGAAATGAAACTACATCTGATGAGAACTGTAGAAAAAATTTGAAGCCTTCTGTGTCTTAGACCAACTTTCTGTCTTTGAGCACTCTGCAGTAGTATGATTTACACAATAATCTCAGCACTAAATATTTTCAAGGGGGAGAAAAAGCAAAGGGGAGGTTCTCTGTGGACAGCAAAAGGTATTGTAATATTTTACAGGTGTAAGTGTAAGCAACACCTACGAGATCATTCCTTGCAAAACACAGAAACTTGGTTATATTCTGTATCTGTAGAAAGGTTTTAATTGAATTTTATATTTAGGTACAAATGTTATTATTATGCAATCCATTTAAATGTATGTCACCCGACTAAAGGCCTCAAGCTATATTTTTATATTTAATTTTGTAATTTGAAATAGGGAATATTAATAACACTTTTTATCAATGTTCTATCTATGTTAAAACAGCCTTCAGCATTAAGCAATAATGAATGTGGATCAGTAAATTATTAAATTTCTTGATATTTATTTTGTCTTGATCCAAAGAGAGTGCAAACTTGCATGATAACATACATTTCCATTTGCTATCACACTGTTCGGTTTTTCTTAGACTAGGTTTGCACTAATTAATATTAGAGAAGATTAAATAGGCTTAAATACATTTACAAAGAGGGCAGATGTACTGTAAATTGGAATAGTGGAACAGCTGTTATGGAGGTGCAGTGCTATTTATGCTCCTATTGTGCAAAGAGGGATTGCAGCCTGTAATGTAAAACCATACCTGATTTTCACATCTGAAACTATAAAACCTTTACTAGTCAGTAAAATTACTAATAGACCATAATAGGACATAAGGGAACATGAACAAATGTAAAAAAAAAAAAAAAAAAAAACAAAACTATAATCAGTTAATCTCATTTAACTAAACTCTGTGCGTTATATCTGAACAAACCCAGAAGAAAGATATAAAAGTATGTGCCTTTTGTAAAGCAGCTCTTTGCTGTAGGAGTGCAAGTGGCAAAATCCTTTGCTACTCATGTATTAGACTCTGAGAAAAGGATTAAATGTTGTACCCAGGCATGAATAAGTGCCGACACAGATTACATGTCCAGGGAAAGACTTCCTCTGCGATTAAGGTCCCTAGCTGCTACCTCTCCAAATAATTTTGTTTAATCTCCAGGTTTTTTTCAAAGCTGTTCCAGATGACTGGCAGGATTAGAGAACTGGTAGTCTGGGAAGGGCAGTAGGTGGGCTGAAGGAAGGAGCTATAAGGAAACAGCATGTCAATGTTTCTTATTCCCCAGACATTCATGAGAAAACAGAATGCCTTTCCCATGCATGATAGGTGAACAACCCCCAGAAACATGGAGAAGGAAGCTTTGAGGGCTTTCAATGGGATACAGCTGCTACAAGTCCACATGGACCTCCACTTACAGGGATACAGCTTTGCATCCAAGTGTGGAGGTGATTCCAAAGAGGTCTCCCACTGCTCCTTTACCCCACACTGCCCTGTAGAGATCAGTTTCCCTATAAAGTTTCACTTTGGTTTTTTTTTTTTCCTACAGGATAGAACTTTTCATGCATGTTATTATTTAGACAAAATTCTAATGAGAAATGACTAAGCGCTTAACAGAATAACACCATGTGTTATGCCTATTCAAAGGTATTAATACCGTTTCTGAATCCAAGTAGAGGTACTCTTAAGGTAATTGCAGTTTGTTTTCCTATTGCACTGCATTTTTGCAAGTTCAGACTAAAATAAACTCTACTAATTTTGTAGCAAATGTTGAATATAGCTTCAGGTTTTTTCTTCTGTAAGAGGACATATCACAAAGTACTAATTTCTAGCCTTTCAAAGGAAAATAGTTGCAACAATTTACCTGAAATCCTTGTTTCCGCTGGTACTTTCTTCTTTGCTGCATATCAGCAAAAGTAGCTGCTCCAGTTGGGTAAGTGTAGGCCATATGTGGTAGGAAGCTCATCTGATCTAGTCCTGGGTATGGTCGCAGCCCAGGAATACTGGTCTGGACTGGTGGCATAAAAGTGGCTGGGGGAAATGCGCTCTGTGGGGGAAGTGTTGTGTATAGAGGTTTGGCACTAAATGGGTTCATACCAAATACTGGGTTAGTGCTTTTATCCAGATTATTTGAATTAGAAAACTCCTTCTTGATAAAAGTCAAGTTCAGTGGCTCATCTGAGTTTTCAGATGATGAAGAAACACTGTTGTGTTCTAAAGTTACACTATTAGATTTTGTTTTGTTCTTTGTGGCTATAATACTTTTGGGTTCCTTCATTTGTTTTGGTAAAGACAAGTCCAAAGGCTCAGCCTGAAGCTCCTCAGAAGAGAAACTGTTTGGAGTGTAAGAACTACTGTGGGAGTTTTTAGAAGATGTGGAAGAAAGATTTAAAGGGGAAGGAGTATTGCTCCTAGAATGGTCCAATTTATCAATTGGTTTAATATTGGTAAAATGGGGAGGTTTTGTTAGCCTGAGAGGAGTATCACAATTAGTAACACTGTTATGGAGTTCAGCTATAGATGGTGAAGTTATAGAGTCCACAGGCTTTATTGGAGATCTGGCTGACAAAGAGTCTTTAGTGGGAGTGTTGTTGGTGGCAGCCAGCGCCACCTTGGCACTGGCCCTTTCCAGTGATGGTGACCTGGAACTTGAATACTGGTAGACTTTTCTTTGTTCAAACCATTCCTTCACAAATTCCTGAGGAAGGCCAACAGCAATGGAAATTTTCAGTAGTTCATCAGAGTTGGGTTCCATATTCATAGCATAATACGCTTTAAGTACAGACATGTGGTCCTTGTATGGGTTGATGGGGCTAGTCATTCCTTTCTCAGAAAGTACTGATGACAGCAAGAGGGTTTGCTTATCAAACACTCCAGGTTTGTTGGGAACCATGTTCTCATGAGGCTGAAGGACTGCCTTGATTTCTTCATTCATTTTACACAGGTAGCGCTCATGCTGATGCAACGGAATGGGACCAGGAAAGCTTTCTTTACAGAACTGGCATGAAAATGGAGTGGATACATTATGGTTCTCTATCATCTTGTCTTCAGTTACCAGGTCTATTAGAGTTCGCAGCTTCTCTTTTTTAATGTTATTGAGCTGCCTCCTTGAGTCTGTGGTTAAACTTTGGAGGCAAGCTTTGGCTTCATTGACTTTCTCTAATGTATAGTCAATAATACTTTTAGTGGCACCATTATGACTTACTACTGGAAGACCCACGGGGGGAATACTGGGGGAAGTAACTCCTTGTTCCTCAGCTTGAGAGCATGAATCCTTCATATGGTAAACCTTCAACTTGGAGATCTCTTCAGCCTTGCAGTCCATTTTCTGCCTGGAAACCGTGTTGTCCACAATCTGTAGGACCTTCTGCACCTCACTTAAATTACTGCCTACCGCAGGAAACCCAAGCAATGGTGCTTCCATCCCTACACCTAAGTGCTGCATTGGACTTTGAGCAGAAGCATGAACTCCTAAGGGGCTGGTTGCTCCAAGTCCACCATTCATAAAAGGACTAGTTGCACTAAACCCATGTGAGGCCATAAGAACCTTATATTCATTGAAATCTAGTGGTTCTGTTTTAATTTTCAGTAGGCCTGTTTGTTCAGACATACTAAGTGGTTTGCCATTCTCCAGCTTGTTTCTCAGCTGTGTAATGGCTGAATTAGTAGGAGAGGAAGATACAGAATTAGGAGAAGAACCCGTCTTGATATTGTTTCTCATTCTGCCATTTACAGAGATTAAACCAATACACTTCTTGCTGCTGATGTGCGAACTGTAGGAGCCAGAATGGGAGAAACGTTTCTTGCAGTTTGGACACTCGTATGGTTTTTCACCTAAAATGATAATTAAAACCAAATGTTAATTATCATTATTGCTGCTATAATTGCAAGTGATCACATTTGATACCCAACTGGTAGCCTGCGTGTTCACTGAGTGAGTAAAATACTATTTCTATGAATATGGCCATACACCACCGCTGCTTTACACCACTGCACTCTTTCTAGGGGAACTGAGGTCAATTTAGATCCACAGTCTTCAGCTGGTAACAGCCACCAAGGTGTGAGATTGGCACCAGACTGACCATTTCACATTACCCTGTAAGAGGTAAGTACCCTGTGGCAAGGGGGAGTCAAATCAAGTCCAGACTGTTCAAATTTGATATGTTTCTTTTTTTGTTTTCTTTTTCCAAAAAACAGACTTTTCCCTGGAAATAAGCATGGTATGCGAAAATGAATCCTGATGTTTGGACCTCCACATCAGTACTGGCGGAAGTTTGTGCTTGGGCAGAGCCTGGTGGCATTTTGTGCGGTGAATGCTGTGTCAAAGA